ACAACGTTTCCACAAGGTACTTGATGATGACAAAACCTTGTCGAAACGTTGTACATTTGCTGTTATATTAAAGTTTTTTCTTCATTACCCATTCAAGCCGTCTCCAGCCATTATTAGTCTCAAAGTGGGTTCCTCGTTATCGAAATTGAATTCATCAGGTCATTTACTTACCAACCTCCCTTCCCCTACCCGAAAATTTGTCTGGCTATAGTAATGATCACCAGCCAGTAAGTGTAATGTTTTATAATTTGTATTTTGAATGGAGTTTCAAGCAAATGAAGTAGTGTTTTGAATCTCAAATCCTATTTAAGAAGAAAAAATGAAAAATAAATTACACTTACGTTTTGAAAATTCAGTAAATAAAAAAGATAGTGTAAGTGTCACTTACTGCACTCACACAGCTCGTACAAAGTAAAAATCAATAAAACCCTAAATAGTAACATCTTGATTAGTTTTAACTGTTTATTTAAGATAGTTTTGTATTCCAAAAATATCTAAAATTTGGCAATTCATTCATGATACTGAGGAATCGCGTAGGTTCAAACTTTAGATGAATAACATAATAAGAAACCTATCAATAAGCCTACATTTTCCTTCCATCTTCACAAGTGAATTCAGAATGTTTAAGAAATGTATAGAACAAAAGTTAGTGAATTGGCGTCGTGGTATCTATAGCAGATCACCATGGCAACACGGAAGTGTTTATGTTGGCTTTCATTGGGAAAGAGGCCTAAACACTTTCATGTTGTCATGGTGATCGGCTATAGATACCCATGACGTCAAGAATCATATTTCATTTTACGCTTCCTACTCAACTCTGAAGAACGACAGTACAGATTTAGCTAAAGCAAGTGGTATGTTATATTGTATTTTCAGCTCTACCATAGAATAAAAAACTTTTCACTTTCTGTACGTAACGGGTTACCATATATTTCCGTATCAACTAACATCAGTCTACATGCCGGCTCTTGTTCTAAACACTTCCTCCATTTTAATAGAGCCTGGTAACTAGAACACTCGACTCGCAATCTTAGGGTCGCGGGTTCGAATCCCCGTCGCCGAATATGCTCGCCCTTTCAGCCGTGGGGGCGTTATAATATGACAGTCAATCCCACTAATTGTTGGTAAAAAAAAGTAGCCCAAGAGTTAGCGGTGGGTGGTTGATTAGCTGCCTTTTCTCTATAGTCTATCACTTCTAGATTAAGGGCGGTTAACGCAGATAGCCCTCGTGTAACTTTTCGCGAAATTAGAATCGAACTCTTTTAATACTTTAATGATCTATATAATGAGATGGTGTCGCTTGCTTTCTGTACGAAAATCTCTCACCTAATTAGACATACTGCATTATTCAAACAATTGCGAACCCTCGGTGTTAGGATATGTTTTCGGCCGTAATCCCAATACTACCTCACGAGTTTCGGGTAGTTTAGAATAAAAATATAATAATTATAAAAATATCATAAAATTTTTTATATAAAGCATTCTATTGAAAGTAACTTTAAAAAGCACAGAGTACACATTATTAAATATTAATAAGGACTATCCTATCATTTGCTCCTCAAAATCTAAATGAATCCGGCTCCCCCCGCCCCCCCACACACACACACCCACATTTGTGAATCTGTATCAGTAAAAAGGCATCATAATTAGGAAAATTACTCTCAGGAAAAGCAGGAGAATGCATAAAATTTAATCCAGATCCCACTTTTAATTTGTCTTCTACACCTCTGCGTACATATATATATAACATTAGTATATCTAATAGTCTGCTCTGACAATTAACTTACATAATGTTTTACGCCAAAGAATACATAATCAGACATGAAACTTTAACTGCCTTATTGTTTACATAACAGTCGTTTTACTTCATAAATCAACTGCCTATAACAGGAGTGATTTTTTTCAGTTGTATCCGTGCTTTAGTTGTACAATATTTAAACATCTTACCCATTGTTTGTTTGTACGTTTTCACACAATACGTTACTTATATCATGGAAAATCGAAACCCAGACTTTAAATTTCCTTCAGACACAAGTCAAAATGTATGTAACAAAGCACACAAGAATATAACCTGCTGCAACAATCGGACAGTACTTTAAGAATATAACCTGCTGCAACAATCGGACAGTACTTTAAGAATATAACCTGCTGCAACAATCGGACAGTACTTTAAGAATATAACCTGCTGCAACAATCTGACAGTACTTTAAGAATATAACCTGCTGCAACAATCGGACAGTACTTTAAGAATATAACGTGCAACAACAATCGGACAGTACTTTAAGAATATAACGTGTAGCAGCAATCGGACAGTACTTGAAGAATATAACCTACTGCAACAACCGGAAAGTACTTTAAGAATATAACGTGCTGTAACAATCGGACAGTACTTTAAGAATATAACGTGTAGCAACAATCGGACAGTACTTTAAGAATATAACGTGCAACAACAATCGGACAGTACTTTAAGAATATAACGTGTAGCAGCAATCGGACAGTACTTTAAGAATATAACGTGTAGCAGCAATCGGACAGTACTTGAAGAATATAACCTGCTGTAACAATCGGACAGTACTTTAAGAATATAACCTGCTGCAACAACCGGACAGTAGTTTGTTTCCAGAAACGAGCCGTAATAAAATCGTCTTTCATTGTTACGTCTCACCGCGAGATGTGGAATTGAACAATGTGTCGTTGAATTAATTCGACGATGTCGTACAATTTCTTTGTATTATAGAGTGTAAGGTTGCCCCTGACGTACAACGATATGCTAAAAGATGGTTTGTGTTTGTTTATCTGTCCGTAACGACCACCATTGTACTTGCAGGGGCTCTTGGGTATGCCTCCGAGGAATTGTTTATTTGTTTTCGAGCGCAATGTTATTCATTGAGCTATCTGTGTTTTGCCAACTGTGGGTATCGAAACCCAAATTTTGGCGTTATAAGCCCAAAGCATCACTTCCGAACACTGGGGAAGGAACTCGGAGGAATAAAAAATAAACCTTTTTATTTTATCATTTTTACGACTTCGACAGTTTTATCCGTTGTCTTTGCCGGACTCCGTGGTGATTCGTAGGTCAACTTGAGAGTTTGTGACGCTAAAAATCGAGGCTCGATACTCGCGATGAGCACAGTGCAGTTACGAAAGACCAAAAAAAATAGAATCTGTAGAATCCAACTGTCGGAGTGCGCTTGCAGTATATAAACACCGCAGGTTTACTTCCTAATAAGTGACGTAATGCAAGTGCTTAAAAGTCTTATTCCAAACCAACGAAATCCATTATTGAAAGCAAGTTTCCCGAAATCTCCGTGAAAACAACGAAATAAATTCCGCATTTGATGCGAGAAAAGCACGATAGTGATCACAGGAGGCGTGTCGATATATCCACAACACTGTTATTTTATGTATAATTGTTCAGCAAAGTATTTACGTTTTAGTTGACTTTTAGAAACAACGAGTCTTCATTTTTAATTTACAAGTAGTCATGATACTAAGGATTTAATTAATTCTCTGGACATGCTTCTAACATTAGCTTCTGTCCACACCAATTGGAGGGGAAGTTAACCAACGAAATCACCCTCTGTAAGTTCCACCTCTTTCCTACGTAGCAGTTTTTAAATCCCTAAATAACGCATTAAATGCTGTCTTTGGTAGTGATGAAAGTATAATAATAAAAGGGATGAACATATGTATATATATATAATACAAAAAGTGTTAATTAATATTTTGTATGG